TGTGTGCCTGTGGTCCCAGAGGCTGTACTTCTGCATCAAGATGGAGCTGAGCCACCTGGTCATGGGTGAGACATCGGGCATGGTGTACGGAGGGCAGTTCTTTGTTTTCCCTCAAGTATATCTTGCCACTATATCTCAAATCCTCCTATGTGTGCATTCCTGAAATGCATTTTTTTGTAATACAGTGGAATGATCCTCGTTCCTCTGGCAATACCACAAGAAGGAGACAAATCCAGGTGGACATGTAGCCTCATGCAGAGACACCCAGGCGAACCCAGTAGACATTAGTCAACCATCAGCTTAACTGCAGACACATAAGCACGAATATACAGGGTGAGGCAAAGCAGATTTACAGTTGTGAGTATAGAAAACAGAGTGTATTATTGTATTATTATTTGTTAATGATTGTACTGTTTTCCATACAAACAACCGTAAACCTATTTTTGCCCCACCCTGTATGATTGTTATTTTAGCCACTGAGTTTTAGGTTGTGTGTTATGTAGCAATAGCTGACTGATACACCTACCTATTCCTATTAGCAAAGTAAAGAATGAATGAAATTTCCTTGTGTCCCTAAATTTATTCTGCAGATAACATTTTTATTGAGTGTCTATTATCTGTCAGGCATTTTCTAGAAGCTGGGGATACAACAGTGAACAAAAGAACATTCCTACTTTCTTAGAGTCATTCTAATGAGGGGAAAATAAGATAGACAAATGAACTAATAACTACATAATATGTTGAGTGCCATGGACAGTGGTAAAAGCAGCATAAAGAAATACTTTTTAAAAAATAACATTAAATGTAAAACCTTTCTGCTAAGTATAAATGCAAAAATCTTGAGGGGGCAGTTTGCTTGCCGGTAGGAGGGACTGCAATTAGACAGGCTGGCTGGACTCAATGATCAGGTTGAAGGATAGCAGAGGACAAGATCAGGTGAAAAGAGCCTTTAAATAAGTAGGTCCGATGTTGTCATTTCTGCTCCCCAAATTCTACAATGGCTTCCCTCCTCATTCAGAAAAAATATCCAAAAGTCCCACCACCATTTACAAGGGTCTATAGAATCTTGCCTCCAGCTACCTCTGCAACCTCATTCCATACTATTGTTGTTTTTTTGTCTCCGTTCCTTTCTTGGGCTGAGTTTCTTCTCACCTTAAAACTTTTAGGTAACCCTTACTTAGCCTGAGTAGTGAAGTAGTAGCTGGCTGATGAGGAGCTACCTTCTTAGAGAGACCTTCTCGGTCTTCCCAATCCAAAGGAACTTCTCAGTCAAGTTCCATCATATCATCCTACTTAATCCTGCCAAACAAACTTCTCACAGTTCAATTATGGTGTTATATAGAACAGTATTGTATATCCGTAAAGCTTTTTCATTAATTCACACAACAAAATAGTTGTTGAACACCTACCACACAAACATATGTTAGGTATTCATTTATTCAACGCTTGGTGAATTCTTACTGAGCACTTCCTGTGTGCCGTGCCCTGTTCTAGGAACCTGCGAGATAGTGATCAACAAGGTAGGTAAACAGGTTTCTGTTCTCACAGAGCTGATGATTTTAGTGAGAGAACAGAAGAACAGGAGTAAGGGGAGCAGAATAGAATGAGTAATAATTTTGAGTAAATTCGGACATCATTCATAGTAGACTACATATCAACTCTGTTAGGATGAGGAAGAAGCCCATTATTTCAATTAACCAAAATAAAATTGAAAAAATACTATTGATTTTTTTTAAGTTAAAAACCTGTATCTTCCCACTATCAGTGTGTTTGGAAGCCAAGAATTCCAATAATTAACTAATAGATTTCCTACATAAACTGTAGTTTTCACTTTAAGATCTGTATATTACTAAAGTCACTAAACTGTTAAGATAAAATTCCCATAAAGTTAATAAATGATTAATGAGTGAAGATGCAGGAAAAGAACCTAAGGACTATATTGCAATAAGGATGCATTTATATCAAGGTTTTTAAACCTTGATACAGTTCCTATTAAATATTAAACTAAGCAATTAATAATATACTGTTTTCTGAACAAACTTTAGTGGGAAATTTTACTACCTTTAAGCACTTTTAAATTTCACCACTTAGAAAATCTCTGGAAAGCTGGGAAAATAACTTGTGCAGAAATTTAAACTTGTAGTAAAAATCAACAGATAAGCCACTATATTTTACACCGAAAATACAGCTTGTCCTGATAATACGGGTTGTGTTCATTTGGTGAAATATTGAGAAATGTTTACAATATGGATGTTTTTAAAGAGTAAAATCTCAGAATCGTTATACTGTATACCACTGAACCAAGAGGCCAGAGAATGGAGATGGGCTCCTACCGAAAAAATAAACACCCCAATAATTTTATGCTTAGTTTGATCGCTAATTATGAAACCTTATTCAATTCTCTGGGCCTTGGTTTCTGTATCTGCAAAAAGATATAATGGTTACCTAATAAAACTCACAGAATTGAACACGTGTGACGGCAAACGGGTATATTTTTACGTTAACCTGTTTTGAAAATTTAAGATTCTATACATGGAAAAAAAAGATTATATACATGAAAGTGGGACACACGCTCATTAGTACATGAGAGATACAGCCAGTTCTTAAAGAAGTGCACAGTTCCTGAATCTTCTCCTCTCAAAACCATGAGGACAGGCCGCATCAATTCTAAAACCACCTGTCATTTGTCACTCTTCTGGTTGGCTGCACCCTGGGAAGTTGGCTCACTCAAAGAAAACTTAGAAAACCACTGGGTCCCTCTCCATCTCCAATCCTCCCTACCGCCAAACCAGGTCAGAGTTCTCAGGAAGATGCCTTGGTGTCCCCTGGCACATAGTCTTCATGCAGTTGGTGCTTCACAGGTGACGGGTGTATTTCTTACATTCTATTTTCATCATGTCATACTTTCATGTTAATAAAGCTCTATTGGAGTCGAATTAAACATGTAAGATAGGTGACAAAATGTAAAAATCCTGAATTAAAAAATAACCTTCATGTGTGTTTAAATTTATTTTTTTGAGATAATTTTGGATTAGAAGGCCTTCTAAAGCATCTATAGTGTTAAAAGTAAAAACCACACCACGGGGTTCACTCTTCTGCATGGAAGTACAACCGGAATGCTCTATCCTCAGGTCTTACGATGGACTCCTTGCCATTTGGGTCTCAGTACATATGTTGCTTTCCCTAAGGAGCCTTCCCTGTGTACCCAGTCTGAACATCGCAAGTTTCTCATTACATTATCCATGACACTCACCACTCTTGCCCTTTTTTTAGTCATTTGTTTCTTGCATATTATCTGTCAAATAGACAGTTAGCTGCATGGGAGCAGGGACGTGGCCCTAATGTCTAGACCAGACTCTCTGGCAAATTCCTCTGTACTAGCCCTCGGCAGATGCCTGGTACATGGGACTTGTTAAAGTTGAGACTTTACTCCATGTCAGGCTCCCTATGTAATCCCACCTGCTTCTAATCCTCGCAACTGTAAACTGTGGGAATTATTCCCAATTTTTAGACGAAGAAAGATTCAAAGAGACTGAAATCATAGCTGAGAAGACAGTCGGATGCTCAAGTCTAACCCCCTTCCCACCACAACTGACAATGTGGATTCCGAATCGTTCCCCCCTGTCTCCCACACAATTAACCACAGGGATGAAGCACTGAGCTTAAATATTTCTTCTTGGAACTAAATGTATTAGCAAAGCAGGGAAACACATCAGGAAGTGCACACAAGCTGGTGGACACGCCCTCACACCCTCCTCACAGATCCTTGGGTAAACAAGGGTGGATGGGTTAGTAGCAATTTAACTTACTGGTTTAGGAATCATTTTGACAAAGGTCACACAACCCGACTATCTAGGAAATCTACATCCAGCTGCCTTAGTAACCACTTCCAAAATCTGAGCTTTTGAAGAGTTTGTGAATGGTTCAGGCATTTGCTCTTTGTGTCCCTTTTCTCTCTCTCATCCTAGTTTTGACTTTTGACTAGTTCACGGCCTTAAAAGCAAACAACAACAACAAACCTCTCCAAATCAAGGAATAAGCTGGAGGGACCAAGAGGAGAGAAAACCGAGGAAGTTGCCAGCAACTTTGGGAAAGGCATATAGTTATTGTCAGGCCCTTTCACTGTCCTCTCTGCCTATTTCATTCTCATCAGATAAATTACAAGTTGCCTTTATGTGACAACCGTCACAATTTCCAGCTGATACACACTCTTCCTGTCGCGCACACACCCACCACTCCCAATTTCCGTCCCGGTTCGGGCTGTGACGTGCCCTGTGACTGCAGAACGCCTGCGGGTGTTGTAAATACCTGGGCTCGGGCAGGAGCTGAAACCCCAGCCCAGCGAGCAGTATGAAACCGACTCATGACTGTGCCCAGTTCTCTTCTCCTCTCGGTTGGGCGCTCGCTTCAAGCAGCCAAGAAGTGACTGCACAACGAGTCAGACGCGAGACTAGTGGGACCGGGGACTGCTCATCTGGAAGTGAGAGATGTGGGCGGCCCAGGCGGGTCCGGCGCTCCCCCGCGGCCCGGGGCGCCTGACCTTTCGCAGCCACGGAGGGCGCAGCACAGGACTCCGGTCCCCGGGCACGCCCTCTGGCCACTGGATGACGGCGACAGAGGACTCTGGAAGTGAGTCAGAGTGGCTGCAGGTGTCTTTCTCAGATGAGACTTGGAAGTCTTCCCAGAGCATCCTGAATTCCTCCGTCGTAAGACTCAACGTATTGTAATTTACAGGGATCTCCCTTCCGCCCTGGGGTGGGAGCCACGCAGGTCTTGTTCGACTGACTCGGGCTTTCCCACCGAGGCTGGCACGTTGTAGACGCCAATAAGTAGCTGTTGCCTGGCTGGGTACTGGCTGAGCGACTGGATGCATGCATGCACGGTGAATGCATCAAGAGTCGGTGTGAGTCCCTTCCTCGCCTCTGCAAGGACCCGGGACAGCCCATTCGATCTCATCGCCACCCAGATGCCAGGTCCCCCGGCTCGGGGCAGACACTCACCTTCTCGGCAGGGCTCTCCGGGCGGCAGCCTCACCTCTCCCCCCATGGCCCCCAGACAGGGTTTCCCGGGCGCAGGCGCTCGCTCCACACCCACCCGGGCTTCTCCGCCGCCGCCTGGACCAAGGTTCCCGCAGAGCTGCACTGGCTCCGACCTGAGCGCGCTGATCCCGCCCCCTGGAGGCCTCAGCCAATGGGGGTGGCTGGGTGGGGCCCGCTGGCCAGCCCGCCCCCTACCGGCCAGGTTGGATGGACTCTCCCGGTGGGCAGGCGGCGACGGCGTCTCCTCGTCGCCGGTGTGGCGCGCGGGTTCGCTTACAGCGTCTCCCTTCGGCAGCTGGAGCGGGGCCGTGGGAAGCACAGACACACCTCGCCGGGTGGAGGCGGCTCTCCGAGCGTGGAGGCCGCCGAGCCAGCTCTCGGGGAATTGGTGGAGAACGTGTACAGGCCGTGGGGGGCCCGCTTCTGGCTCTCCCGCGTGGAATGCCTCCCGCTGCTGGATTCTGAGCGCTCTCCGTCCCACGTGGGCGGCTTTGCATGGAACTTGCTGGCCCCTGGAATTCTGCTCTGATGGCCATGCCCAAGTTTATTCTGAGCGCCTTAGAATCAGGCTGTGCCCTTCTGTGCTATGATCAGCTTCTCCCGCGCTCGTTCCACTTCGAACGTGCGCCCCTCTCCTCCCCCTTTTTCTTGGTCATAGAGTTATTTGCAATAAACCCTAAAGCAGTGGTTCTCAACCTGGGCTGCACATTAGAATCACCCCCAGGTGATTCTGAAAATCCTGATTTGTGGGCCTCATCTCCGATGATTCGGTTTCTTTGTTATGGGGTGGGGCCACAACATCAGTAACAAAGAATTTCCGGAGGATGGGGCCCAGAAATCAGGATTTTAAAAAGATTCCCAGGTGATTCTAATGTGCAGCCAAGGTTGAGAACCACTGCCCTAAAAAAAAAAAGGCAATGCTCAAACAGAAACGACTGATTCCTGCAAAATACTAATAGTTCACATTTATGATATTCTTACTTGACCAGGCATGTGTAGGCACTTTATATGTATTAACTCAGTATATCTCACGACATAGTCTATGAACCCCTAGTTTTTATAGATGAGGGATCAGCGCTAAAAAGTGAGGTTGGGTCAACTAAGTAGTCAGTGGAAGGCTTCTTAGCAGGTCATTATGCAACATGATGATTACAA